AGGACCTAGTGCATGCTAAGCGTGTGCTCTATGACTTGAGCTATATCCTCCCCTTGCAAAAACTATTTTCTAAGTTATATGTTTATTTTGGGAAGGGTTTGAGACACTGATGGAGATTGGCTGGGGGCTCGTTGAAGACCTTCCCAGTGAATTCTGTATGCACATGCTTGCTGGCGATCCGTGGTGTCACGTGTCTGTCTTCTCCCCGTGTGTCTTCATGTCACCTTCCTTCTGTTCATGTCTTTCTCTGTGCATTCACATGTGCTATTCTCCCTGCATGGAATGCACTTTTATAGCGTCTCTCTCCCCTGCACCTGGCTAGTTACTGTTGAAACTTCAGCTATCAGTTTAAATGTCCTTTTCCAGAGAAGCCTTTCCTGGCTCTGTGGACTAGGTGAAGTCTGAGCAGGATCTTTTAAAGGACCTTCACAGCATCCTGTACCTCTCCTTCCTAATGCTTATCATAATTGGTTTTTTTTAATTTTTCTGTTTTATTAAATAGAATTGTTACAATTTGACTGCACATATACAATATATTGCATGTAAATACATATATGCAATATACTGTATGTATTTTTTGAATTTACGTGTATGTACTGTTCGTTGTTTCTAAGAATATTTAGAGCTTTAGCTTTTTAAACCTACATAGTTCAACAGAATAAGGTCAACCACAAAATAAGAATTAATTTAAAAATATACATACACCCCACTATTAACAGCAACATTCTTTATAATTGCCAAGATATGGAAGCATCTTAAGTGTACATCAATAGATGAATGGATAAAGAAGATGCGGCATGTATATGTAATGGAATACAATCATCATAATTGTTTTTAAATAAGCGTTTGTATGGTTATTTATTTTCATTTTATTTTCATTATGTGAAATAATCACATATCACATATTCATCATTATGTGAACTCCATCAGGCTGTCCTGGGTGGTTGGCCAAACAGACGCTGACCACGAAGTAGTATTTGAGAGAATCATCGGAGAGCCACGTAGGCCTGTTGGAAACTTCTCTGCCATGATATTAGAGAGCCAAAGAGTCAGCATTTTGCCTTTTTCCAAGTTTGGGGTGAATTGTTCTTTTATTGTCTGCAGGGCCCCAGAGGCAAAGGCATATTCAGGGAGCTACAAGAAACAGGGGAAATTGTTGACGAATAACGTGTAAGAGGACGTGGGTAGGTCTGGATCACAATGCAGAATCCTGAGCACAACTGCAGACATGCTACCAACTCAGGATTCACTGCAGGTGGTGTGAACCCAGGGAAGAGGGCTGGGCAGGCAGTCACCTTGAAGGAAGCCAGGGAAACAAAACTGAGACCTGTTGTCTAGAGACTTCCTTAAAGGTTTAAAATGAACCTGTTTAAAATTAACTCATAGTTGGCCTTAGGTGATACTTTTGCTTGAGTAATGGAAAAAGCTACCTTGCAGAAACACAAAGGCCTCACATGATCTGATTTCTTTTTCCATACTGTTTGAGGAGCCCACTTGCTTGATTCACTTGCTCACCCTAGCCTGATCACATTGTTTGAGGGTCCCTAGTTACCTGATCTTGTTTTTGCAGAATGTTTGTTCCACAGGGCAGAACAAACTGGAAAGTAAGCAGGAGTGGGACAGCCAGTGGAAAGAGGACCAGAAGCACCAAAGAAGACAGATGAAAGGACCCAGCCTTATACAAGGAATGCCCACTAGTGGCCAGCAGCAAAGTCTCCCCTCCACTCCTGCCTCCACAGGTGAACAGAGCCCAGGTAGGGAGCCTGGACTTCCATCCCCATCTGGCAGTAGCTCCCCTCCCCCGCCAGACTGATGTCAGAGAAGGCAGCTAAAACAGAAGAAATAAGCTCTAGAATCTCAGATATAATATGAAAATGTTCAGATTTCAATTTCTTCAATTTCATACCCCAAACCAGGAAGATCTCAAACTGAAAAAAGACAACCAATAGGTGCTAATGCTGAGATGTTAGAATTATCTGGCAAATCTTTTAAAGCAGACATTGTAACCATGTTTGAAATGAATGAAAGAACAGAAAGGCTCAGCCAGGAAACAGAAGCTATAAAGGAGAACCAAATGGAAATTTTGGAACTGAAAAATACAATAACCAAAATGAGAAGCTCAGTGGATGGATTCAACAGCAAAATGGAGGGGACAGAGGAAAGAATTAGGGACCCAAAAGATAGAACAATTGAAAATACCCAATCTGAACAACTGAGAGAAAATGAAGTTAAAAAAAAAAATCCCGAAGGATCTGTGGGACTATAATAAGAGATCTCACATTTAAGTCATCAGAGTCCTAGAAAGAGAGGCTGAAAAAGTACTCAAAGAAATAATGGCTGAAAAGCTCCCAAATTTGGCCAGAGACATGAACCTACAGATGCAAGAAGCTGAGTGACATATGTGGAATCTTAAAAAAAAAAAAAAGACAAATGAGCTTACACATAAAACAGAAACAGACTCACAGACATAGAATACAGACTTGTGGCTGCCAGGGGGGAGGGGGGTGGGAAGGGATAAACTGGGAGTTGGAGATTTGCAGATACTGACTGGTATATATAAAATAGATAAATAAGTCTATACTGTGTAGCATAGGGAAATATATTCAGTATCTTGTAGTAGCTTATGGTGAAAAACAACGTGAAAATGAATATATGTATATTCATGTATGACTGAAGCATTGTGCTGTATACCAGAAATTGACACAACATTGTTTACTGACTATATCTCAATTAAAAAAAAAAAAGAAAAAGCTGAGTGAAACTCCAATGGGATAAACCTAAGGAAGTCCATGCCAAGAGACAGCATAATTAAATTTTTGGAAACCAAAGACAAAAAAATCTTGAAAGCAGAGAAAAACAACACCTGACCAATAAAGGAAAAATAATTCCAAAGACAGATTTCTCATCAGAAACCACAGAGGACTCGCTCAAGGTCCCCGTAGTAGGGGGAACGGTGGGGTTTTACCTGTCTCCATCCAGGAAAGAAACAAGAACAGCCAGGTAAACACCGCTTAGGTAACTTTCCATGTTTTGGAGTAGCAGTCTTCAGACTGGGGGTAAATGTGTCTTGAGTCTCGTACACTTTTTAAGGAGAGAGAGCATGCTCAAGAGAGTCAAGTTCCAAATCCCCCTCATTCATTTGGACTCCCCAGAGCTGACTGCCTGAGAATGTGCCAGTGTCCTGTTTCTGTTCTCCTCAAAGAGAAGTATCTTTCTCCCTCCTGACCCCCTCTATGTAGTCTCACTGTCACCTGCTAGATTTGTTTATTTGTTTCCACCAGATATTGCTAAATTTAGATTAACTTTAGGGAGACACATAGTGGTTTTCATTGTAAATCATGCACAGAACAGCAATCCCTGATACATAAAACGCAGTAGTGCCCTGAACTTTAGAAAACAGCTTCCTTGTGCTGAGATCAACTCTTCTTTTTTAGATGTTGATATGATCTTCCAATTGTCAAATGCATATTTATAAACATACTTGATTTCATCTATTGGATTAAATTGCTAGGAAATCCATGTATAATAGTTCACAAACATCCATCTCTCTGTTCATCTATCATGAATATACATGTCTTTAATCACAATCCCCATTTTTATGAAATTGTCGTTTTTAACCCGTTTCATCTAATTTTCGCTCTATGAACCAAGCACCTCTAAATGTAAGAGTAAATGGTATAATAATCACTTAAGTCTTAGTAGAGCCTTCCCAGATACTGAGAAAGTGACCAACTCCTAGTGACTAGGTAAACACTTTCTTTGAAAGTCAGGTGATTTCCAAGTCTTCTGTTTTTAACGTTACTGAACCTCACTGAATTGTTGACTGATGGAGTACTGAACTTAATTTTTAAAGAACGATCTCTAGGTGATTTTAGCATGTAACTTGGAAAGAGTTTAAAGAATCGACAGATGTTGCCAATATCATACATCCTTCCATTCTTATATACTTATATAAATGAATGAGTTTTCTCAGAACTTCACATCTATAAAAACAAAAAATAGGTCCAGAATTGATGAAGAGCCCTGTCTCATTGAGCAATATTCATCCACAAAGACTTGGAATAATTAAAATAAAACACACAGAGCTCCATTTATTTTTATTCATAGACCATGGCCATTTTATTTTCCCTGTTTAACAATTATGTAACAAAATGTGTGGCGTTTTATGCTATTTTGATCAACTGTGGAACCACTAGTAATAATAATAATAATAATAACTCAATCCAGAAGACTCAGAGCATTAGTGTCACAGGAAAATAAAACTTAAAAAAATTTTCGTAAATGTATCCACTGACTGCAAGATATTGGCCGCTTACAAGTCCAGTGACCTTGGGGAAGTTACTTAACCCCTCTGAACTCTGGTTTTTTTTTTAATCTTCAAAATGGGAATAATGATAGTTCATAATTCATACCTTTGTCATGAACACTAAAGGAGTGAACACTTTCGTGGAAGAAATGAAATGGAAATTCGAATGATGTAAAATTTCTGACTGGCTTACCTAGAGATTAATAAGAGGGCTTATTCTTTATATTTTAAAATATGCATGGTGGTAGGTATTAAATTGCTAGGGTATTTAAGTTCCACTGGATACCTGTAAGAGTGATTAATGGCTTTATTTTAAAATGTCAACATTTACAATACATTAGGAATTATGTCTTTTGCAACTCTGTATGGTGAAAAATGTCAGCTAAATGTATCGGGAGTTAGTTTTTTGAAATTATTTTATGTTTATGAGCTTAGAAGAAGACCAGAGCTGAGCAGTGCTTGTTTATCTAGAGAGCTGCCTAAATTCGGACCCTACATAGTGCTCAAGAAGACAGGAATAAAGGCATTTCACTCATATATACTCTTCCCTAACCCGTCTTGAACAGAATTGAATGGAATCAATCCCGCTCCGCGTTCTCGCCATTGACGAAGCCTGTAGTAGCCACTTGCCGCCAACAGGTGGCACACGTGAACAGGCTCCAGGGGGCGGGTCCCCGAGCACGCCTCTCGGTAGCCCGGTGGAATCTCTCGGCTTCCGTTGCGCATCGAGCAAGATGGCAGCCTCCGAGACGGTTAGGCTACGGCTTCAATTTGATTACCCGCCGCCAGCCACCCCACACTGCACGTCCTTCTGGCTTCTCATCGACTTGAACAGATGCCGAGTGGTCACGGATCTCATCAGTCTCATCCGCC